TATCGTAAATGAGTTACCTCGCAGAATATTAAATGTAAACAGAAAAAATTGGTTTAGAAGTACATTAATTCAAGGTTTTATGACAACGGGCATTACGAGAGACGGAAAGAATATTTGGAAATGTACGTCGATCTCTGATCCACAGATGTGAGCCTTGTGTTGAAGTGGAAAGAAGACATATGGAACATCTGTAACAAAAATAAAAAACAACTTTTATATTTTTCTTTAAAGGGATTGATTCTAAGACCCATGTTGATTAAACATTATTTACTTCTCTCGGGGTGTACTACAAGCCCCTAATGTCTCTTCTTCATCACCCTATATAGTCCCATGGTAGCCAAAGTATAACATTTCTTTTTATAAACTTAACTCACATTACGTACACATATGTATGTAATATTTTTGAAAGTTATCTGACTTTATTGTGTGGTATGACTCTCGTAAAATGACGATTTCATCATGAAAAGCATATCCTATTGTATTACTGCCATAATCGTAATATAGTAGGATGCAACAGAAGTACACAAACTTCACCTTTGTAAGGTGTATACTTAGTTTCGACTCTCACTGTATATAGGTAAAATTATTAATTTGTCTTATTCGTTTTTCATAAAACGACGTCATGCTTAGCAATGAATCTCCACCGTCAATGTTCCAACAACGTCGTTTTACACGAGATCATCCTCTGTTGTTCCTTGGTCGTCGCGAGATGCTTTGGAAACCCATTAGAGTGATTATCGTGGTTCTTTACATTCTGCAGAATTGATATCGTTACAATATCGCTTCTTACTATTGATCGATGAGGGTTGTGAATCATGCGTAGTGGCAAGTCGCGTCCATCGGGTGCACCGGGTGCAGACTGGTAACAATATTTCGCATTCGTACGCGATTCCACGCATGTACTACCTATGCGTGTAGTATCATGAAAAGAGACACGCCTAGGTCGGGCAGCATTGTCAGTACTGGCGCCCATGCGACAATTAGTCGAGGAGAAAAACCGACGGGTCTGTGAACACAGGTGCGCCTGGGCGCGATCGTCTCATCGGCGCAGCGCGGCGTTCGTCTTCCTCGTAAAACGCTCACACCGATTTCGATAGGCGAACCAACCCTTTGTATATTTGTCGTCTATGTACTTCTGGGGGTGTTTAATTATCATATAATTAACTGGAAAATATGGTGATCTTAAATTGACACAAATTGCTACTTGGCCTGAACTCTCGAGTGTACCGTTCTGATCAATCTGACCCAAAACTATGTACAGTTTTCCTAAAGTTTTTGGGAAGATTATTAAAGTATTGGAAATCTTCACATATACTTGATTTTACAGAAATTTGATGTTTAATAGGTAAATATATTTTCTTAACAAGTTAAGTGCTATTTCCATCCAAATGAATGCAATACATTCTGGCTTATTGAGCCACTTGTATTAGTTTGGAAATTACGTCCTTCGTTCAGATTCGGCTGCCTGTATTCTTAACAATTTTTATGTATGATTTTACGAGGAACCGTATTAAGATGGCCTAGTTGTCCAGAAAACCTTGGTAGCTAGGAATTTGTTCTACCCAAATAACATTTATAAGAACATGAGGTATTCATTGAGTTGTGAACACGGAGGAATAAACACCATCTTAAAGAAATAACGTGGATTCATTATTCTTGGACACTTACGATTAGTTATCCTTACATAAATTCTAACAAGTTTACACCTGTATTTGATAAGATGTAAGATACAGTGGCCAAACACTGTTTTTTCCCATATGAGCCGCCTATATCCAAATGAATTCGGTCAAATTATTGTCTAAAAATAGTTAAAAATGTCAGATCATATTTTACATATTTCTTATATTATTTTATGATAATTTAAGTAACGTTATGAAAAAGAATACACAATGGCCAAAGGCGATATAATTTGTTTTACATGATGATGATTAACGTGTAAATTAAGTTTCAATTTCGGTTCAACTTAATCGAATGTGTTGTAATATACTATTTTCTTAAACAGTACACGCAGATACAACGTAGCTATGTTATCAGAATCTGCGGAAAGTACATATTTACTTGCTTATTTTTTGGTAGAGCGTAGTGAAGTATATTTTAGTACACATGGTTCAATCGAAATAATTGCGAGCTCTAATAAGCTGAAGATAAAACAGAAAATCTATTGATCTTCGTTAACGGTAACATCTTTGTTAAAGTTGCGATGTAAATATTTGGCATATTTGTATAACTCGATTATTCTATTCGAAAAATAATCAGTGAAATATGTATCCCACCTTTATCGTTCTTATTTTTTAAACGAAACTGTATCTTATGATAAGTGAGAACACGTATCCCCAATACTTCAATCTATCTTCATTACTTTTCAGTCAAACCTGAAAACACAAAGCCACGCATACCCCATATTTAATTCATTCTGCGTCATATCCAGGACTTAATTAATCTTAATAAATAAGTTCATCTTAAATCCGAATAAATGCCCGGTCCATTTATATGTTACACCGAACACTAGAAGCACTAGTGTTGAATATACCTATGTACACTAAATTAAATTGAATAATATATTAATATTTATAATATACAATACATTATAGCATAATATAATGTAATGTAAATATATAATAAATTAAAGATTGATATAAATACCAACGAAAGAACCTTTATGATTTTAATAGTTATATAATAACAAATCTGAATTCGGTCATTTTCACGGGTTTGGTAGTTCCCATGTTAATTATTTACGATAACCAAATGCAAGGTTTCGCATTGCAAAAATCGCGATTATGCACAGTACCGGTAAAAGAAATTACCACTGTCTTAATTCGTTGCATTTTTATTCTTTTTCAAAGTCAACTTAAAACTCTAGTATCTATGTGTTAAATATACATTTTGAAAGAAAATTAAAAGCTGTATAAAACCCAATATACTACGGTTTTAAGTTGATGTTAAAAAATAATAGAAATCAAAAAAATGAGGAACGTCGTATCTTTTTCGTCCGGAACTGTAGACGAAAATATGGTGACTATATTTTTCATGGACCTTGATAGTACCTATACAGAGCGAGGCACTTAAAACCGGCCACCTGAATAACTTGGCTGCTATTGGTGTTAGGAAAAAATGCATCAGGCCAAAATTATTTGGTATCGAGGGGCTGATCATCCGATGTCACTAGTTTTTTGATAGGTGGAGGCGTCAAGGAGATATGAAGGTAATCTCTGTTTTTTTTAAATGGAACAGTATATTTTTTTACTTACATTCTGATAGAGTATTTCAAAACAAATACAATGACCTATTGGAAAGGTCATTCGTGGTCTGGGTTCAGTCAATTGTGATGGAAAATAATTTACTTTGAGGAAATGGTCGAACACTTCCTTGCCGTCTCTGGTTGTTGATATTATTACTTCATCTCTGTCTCGGAATCTCTTGTTATGGGCCGTTGAATGGAAATAAACATTCAATCACGCTGTACGCTTCATCTATACATACTATAATTAGTCGTTTATGAGAATCTCTGCCGAGCGAAGTGTATCTCAACTTTCCGAAATGTGTTATTCAATAGCGGAGAAAGTAGATATGGATTTTGTTTATGGGGAATGTCGCGAAATTGTAAGAGATGCAGTCCGTTTGTATGCTGAACGGTTTCACGAACGTGTCACACCTTCACGATCTGCATTTACGAATGTTATTAATAGTTTTCAAGAATCTGGACGCGCAGATAACAAAATACGAAGAAGATCCAAGGCAGCAACTGATGATCGAAATACAATGAACATTTTAGCAGCTGTAACACAAAATCCCCATGCTAGTACAAGGCAGCTAGCACGTGAAAGTGGCATCAGTCAACGAAGTGTTTTGCGAATATTACATTCAAATAAATTCCACGCTTTTCATGTTTCACTTCACCAAGAATTACATGGGAATGATTTTCAAAACCGTGTAAATTTTTGTGAATGGGGTCTGCAGAAATTACAGAGTGATGAGCTGTTTTTGACTAAAGTTTTGTTTACGGACGAAGCCACATTTACAAACTGTGGCCAAGTCAATCGTCATAATATGCATTATTGGTCAATAGAAAATCCACGGAGGCTGCGAGAAGTGGATAAACAAAGACCTTGGTCTGTAAACGTTTGGTGCGGACTTCTTAACGGTGAAATAATTGATCTTTATTTTATCGATGGCACATTAAACACTTCGAGATATAAACACATTTTAACGGAAATTTTACCACACCTGCTGGAAAATATTCCGCTTCACATACGGTAAACTATGTGGTTCCAACAAGATGGATGCCCTGCTCATGCTGCACGGATAATTACTCAATTTCTCAACGTGACATTCGGAGATCGTTGGATTAGTCGTGCAGGAAATCATAAATGGCCTGCACGTTCTCCAGATTTAACACCTCTGGACTTCTATTTGTGGGGAAAATTAAAGCAGCCAGTGTATAATGAAATACCAACAACCAAAGAAGATATGAAAGAGCGTACAAGAAGAGCTTGTGCCGCGAGAAACACAACTGAAATTCAACATGCCGTATTATCCGTCAAGCAACGCTTCAGAGCATGCATCAATGTTCAAGGTCACCATTTTGAACACTTGTACAATTAGTCGTAAAATAAATCAACGGTGCTTGATCATTTCTTCAAAGTGAATTAGTTTCCATCACAATTGGCTTAACCCAGACCACGAATGACCTTTCCAATAGGTCATTGTTTTCGTCTTGAAATACTCTAGCAGAATGTAAGTAAAAACACATACCGTTCCATTTAAAAAAACAGAGATGACCTTCATATCTCCTTGACGTCGCCACCTATCAAAAAACTAGTAACATCGGATGATCAGCCCCTCGATACCAAATAATATTGGCCTGATGCATTTTTTCCTATCACCAATAGCAGCCAAGTTATTCAGGTGGCCGGTTTTAAGTGCTTCACCCTGTATACGTTTGAAAAATACGTATTTATTAATATGATCTGACACGATATATTTTCAACTTGTTTCAGTGCAAACAATGCGGGAAGGCCTTCAAACGCTCCAGCACTCTCAGCACCCACCTTCTGATCCACTCCGACACCAGACCGTATCCCTGTCAGTACTGCGGCAAGAGGTTCCATCAGAAATCGGACATGAAGAAGCACACATACATACACACCGGTGAGTTACAACAAAAAGAACGAAAAAGAACCCAAATCATTTCTTTGAATCGAGGTACGAAACATCCGTTGGGGGAGGGAGCGGGGGTGATATCAGCTTCGACGAAAGTTTCGCGTGCAGAATTATCGAGTGGATAAACGATGGAAACGTTCTCTGGTCTGCGCATCTGGACGCGTGTACCTAACTTTCTAATCGAAAGAAACTTCGCTGGTTGTTTTTGAATTGTTCATACGAGGCTCGTCTCGTTTCTAATACCCTTGTTCGCTCGTTGTATTATTCAATGCACCATTGTTGCCGCGCGCGATCGTCGAAAGCTCCCACGATACTTTGTACACCCCCGAAGACACCCCGGTAAACGTATCTACATCGTAGTTTGTAACTTTTCGAGCTGCTGTTTGGCCGTGCACGTCATCGATAACGAAAAATAATTGTTTACTATGTGTACTACACCTCCTCGACACACATTTCCGTGATGTGTGGAGTGACTCAACGAATGATACTCGAAACTTCTTTATCTCCATAATTCGATATAATTCTGTTGCTCGTGATTTTATCAATAGACGAAGGAAAATAAATAGAATATTATGAAAGTGGTTTCCGTGAAATTCAAGTAAATAGCGTTATAAAGTAAATATTGTAGGTACTTCGTAACCATTTTCTTTTACCTTTCTTACTAGTTAAAAGTGAAAAAATAGGGAATGAAGCTAGAAGAAGATCACGAATAAAAAATTGATTTCAATTTTTAATTCGCAATGTACACGTTTTTACAAATGTCTACAGGGTTACTTAGGGTACTTTAACGGTATTTATTACTATTATTAATCAAAATTTATCTGTTTTAAGTAGACAATATACACTAACGATAACAAACATTTCGAGAATACATTCTCTTCATAGTGAACCCAAGGTCACTAAACACTAAAAATTGAAGGTGACGTTGAGTTCACAATGAAAAAACAATGTATTTTCGAAATGTTTGTTATCGTTACATGTTGTTCATTTGAAACCGGAGAATTTTTGTTCACCTTTAGAGGACGAGCAGGTCTTTTCATGACATTTTATATTTTCTAGTTAAAACATCTATATATTTGTTATAGTGTTATGCATGCTACGAAAACTAAGCGACTCCTCTGGCGCCTAAAAATAGGCTTTCCGTTCTCTAAACATTAATAATTTTTTTTATTAGACTGTCCCAAACGGCTGAAAAATCGTAGATACCATTAGAGTGAACATTCTAGGTACCTACTGCTCTTACATGTACATTGGCTGTATATATTTAGCACATTTCTTTACTCATTCGTATCTGTTTCGGATGAAATCATGCAAGCCTACCCAAACTTTACCGCATATTTAGCTATAAAGTTATTATTACTTCATCAAATTAGTAGTTCCAGCACTCAACTCCCGCGCGCGCAATTTAAACTCATTTCGTTCGGGTTTTGTTTCGCACCCTGTATTTCGCTACTGCGATTAAACTGTTTAACCTTTTCAGGGACGAATTTATCAAGACCAGAAAGAATATTTTCTTCATTCTTCGACTGTATTTAATTAAAATATATTTATAAATGTTAACGGCAATCAATTGGTGGAATGTCCATTTTTGTTGGGATTTCCTAATGAATATTTAATTACAGTTTCGGAATGATGCTTCAATGAAAGAGAAACTAAACGTACACATACGTGTGTTAGAATGGTTACTGATTAGTGATTAGTGGCACTTAGTCTCCCGGGAGAGGGGGTTTCGGTACTAGAATTGTGTAAGTGAAATGAAATGAAACGTAGAATCTCCTTTTAAATTAAAAGAATCGCAGCAAATTTTGCAAGCAACCATTTATCGAGATCTGATGTGATGTTCCATTTATTCCTTGAAACTAAATTATTTTGTTGCTGGTGATATCTTGTGAAAAGCGGCTGCAAATATCTTACATTTCATTGCATACGTAATTATTTATTTATGTAATTATGCAATGCGATTTTTTTTTTAACCACAGTTAAATAAAGTATCGCGAATTATTCGTTAATAATTTTTTGAATTTTTTATCGTCATTAGAAGAGCACTCGATATGTATTCCATACATGGAATACATGCAAAATTATATTCATTTATAATGTGTAAATTTATTATAACATCTTTATATCTAATAGGTGATTTGGTATTTGAAATGTGTGAGACTTTTTTCACGATGTTTGCGTGTTTCTGAATAGGGAAATGCAGGGAAAACAATTTTTATTCGTACGTTATGTCGCGATACGAATTATATGTTCTTAAAAATAGACTGATTTATGTCGGGTTGGGACTTATTTTCATCAGGAGAATCTCCTAAATTTATTCGTAACATTTTTAAGAAAGTACACTGCGAGGAGTAAAAGTTTAAATTTTTATTCATGGGTGATTCGTTCTGTATGTTACATTGTAACCCGAGCGTCGGTCGGCGGCGGCTTATAGAGTATCAAATAACATCTCTACGCACCGAGGCTTGGCTGGGCAGAGCCTCGTCTCCGCTGACACGTCATAAACCTGTCATTCCGGTTCGTTCGAGCCGGCCAAGTCAAGCCGGAGTATCGTTGGCTTCGAGTCGGCTCGATTACCCATCACTACATCTAATACGTGACCGAATCTCAGATTCCTTTCGAACGTCGAAAGACATGGCCAGGCTGTATTACGATAACTTACATATCAGAAGTGGGATAGACGTCGCAGCACAGAGAGAAAAGAAAATTTTCTATTTCTTTTTCTCTTTTCCCTTCCCTTTTCTTTTTTTACGTGTTGTTAACGCGCATTAGACGTAAGGACAAGCCGATCGAGTGTAAGGACGAATAATACGCCGAACTAAGTTTACTTGTACTCAATTGTGGTGAAGCGGGCGACAGCATGGGTAGACACCGTGCAAGTCGGCATACTAAAGACAAATGTCCACGTACGAAAGATATATACGAGATCGCCTCATCCGTGAACCAACGTCCGAATCTGTACGAAAAAGTAGTCCACGTAAACAATTATAAGACTAAAGGATTGATAGATACCGATAGTACTTGTACGCTAATATGATTGTCCTTAGTTGAAAAGTGTAAGCTCACATCAGTTCAGACGACGGATTTCGCGTTGAGAGGTTTTGGAGGTCAGATAGTCGCTACGAATCGGACCGTATCATTTAACTTGTGTGTAATGAGTACAACTGCCAGGGTAGATGCTTCGGTGGTTCCGGACGAATACCTAACACATGATGTAATCAATTATTACTAATCATTGGAAGGGATTGTCCCAAACAGAGTCATATTATTATGATAAAAATAATTTTGCTTAAGCAGACTCTGCGTTGTAAAATGTATTTAGATAAGGTGGTCGAAATAAATTTCTAAGATTACACAACGCAACTAAATTTCGACGAGGTAAATGACATGACGAAACGACAATGTATCGAATTACTGCACGAATTTGACGACTGCGTGTCGTCGTCAATGATGAAGTTAGATAAAATAGACACGTTATTGTTGCAAATACGACGTGTTAGTGATAGTCCGATAGTTTATCGACCATACCGAGTAGCCGAACCCTACCGAAACGTTTTGAAGAGCATGGTACAGGAACTTTTGGATAGCGGAATAGTTCGCAAATCCAACTCACAATATGCTACCCTGGTCACACTGGTAAAAAAGGAAACGGACGATTTTAGAATGTGCGTGGATTTTCGAAAACTCAACGCAATAACGATCAGAGACAAATATCCCTTCGCTTTAATCGAGGACCAGATCGATGGGTTAGGCGGAAATAAAAAAGATTCAAAGTGCATTAAATACCGCTCATAATAAAGGAATTAATACGTGACCGATGAAACCGTTAATCAGCTGTAATACGATAAGTGCAGCCGAGGCACGGTTGTTGAACGATAATCAGGATGAAATAGATAGGGTCGATCTGGATAATTTAAGGCAAAGTATTAGTGAGCATATTACTGAGGATCAATAGAAACAAAAAGAACGATACGATAAACTGAGACGTGAAACAACAATGTATAAGGAAGGTGACCTTGTTATAATGCAAATCACGAGCGAAGTATCAACAGGGACTAGTTGTGAACTACTCCCAAAGTATAAAGGACCCTTTCGAGGACATAGACTGTTGCCGAACGACAGGTATGAGGTCGAGGATCTCCGTGAAGGGCTAGGAGGGCACGAACAATTGCTGCAGTAGACTGTTTAAAACCTTGGATCTCCGTTCAAGGTGGAACGAAAGATTGAGGGGTTTTGTATGTTATATAATAAAACTTGTCCAACGTGGACAAGTGTATGACCGAAATCGTTCCTGGCATACATGTATAGGCAAACATTGCCATGCAATAAAGCACACGTTAAACAAATGACACTTATTACAAAATATGAATACACGGTTAATATCTGATGAACGGTCCAGATATAGGCAAACGTTGTCATGCAATGAAGTACACGTTAAGCGAACGGCGCTTATGACATTGACATTTACAAATTTGGAAGCAAATATAAAGATAAGAAAATTGTCAAACGTTGGTGAATTGGTCACAGAGTAAGTATAGCAACGGAAGTAAGAAATAATTTCGTTAAAGTAGTCTGAGGATAGACGTTCCGTTTTAATTTAAAAGGAGATGATACGTTTCATTCCATTTCACTTACACAATTCAAACATTCGGCCATATTACGATAACTTACACGTGCCAGTATCCCTCAAGTAGTTAATAATAGTTTCTTGGCTGTTGACAGTTGGATTTACTAAACCTATTAAATAGTACAAAGTAGATAATGTATTAAAAGGCAGTAGTGGGCTGAACAACAAGACTATATATTTTGTTCTGCTATATATGTACGTTTTTTGCGACGCGTTTTGTTCCCGCAACATCGATGATCCGTCTTTCGGTTCAACGAGCGAGGAGGTTATGGTCGGCGCAACGAAAGCGCGCTTATCGCGTCGGGTATATGTATACATACGTGGTATACGAGTGTTTGCACGACGAACGATACTGCAAAAG